CCTTTGAGACAATCCGTTCTAATCAATAAAATACTAAAATTAAGAACTTACAGAAGAATAATTAACAGACTTCAACATAATATCAAATCAAATTAGTAAAGAAATTAATAATATAAAGTTCATGGATTGGCCAGATCAAATCAAAACTCATCATATTTTACTACTATCTGAAATTAAGCTGCAATTAGAACTCCTTAGTTTGGTACAGCAAGACAGAAATATTATCTATATAGAAATTTCAAAACTATTGGATGGATATCTTAAAGAAATAAATTCAGAAGATAAACCAAATGAGCACTAGCCCTTAACTAAGGGTATAAAGCAATCGTCTACCAATGATGAAATTTTGATATTGAAATTAAAAGATTTTTTTGATTGTGAAGGGCCTTTGAATATTTTAGAGAAGTTGATTACCAAATCAAAAAAGATTAAAAGCATATTTAGGTAAAACCATTTAAATGCAGCTTCTCAAAATTTATAAACCAACTTCGATTTATTGAATAAATTAAAGGATGCCTAAACATTAAGTCTCAAACAAGCTATTACTGATTTACTATAACAAACCTTAGTATTTTGTTAAATGATTAATACACATGAGTAAATTATTTTTGATTAAGGGTTTATTGAAAAGAGCTAAAATTAACCTAATTTAGATTAAATTTCTGCATTATTACATATATTAAACTTTGATACTCTGAATTTTTAAAATTAAAGGATGGAACATGGAGTAGAAAAAGTTGATATAATATAGAATATGATTGCAGAATTGGAAAAAGATATGAAAATAATTTAAGAAGAAAATATTTTTGATACACTTTCAGATTAATCCTATAAAGTTCGAGAATTAGTTGTATTCAATTTAATTAAAATACAAACAATCATTTAAGAACAACCAATATAAGAGTTTTGTGAAAATTTATTAAAATAAATCTGGATAATTGAAAAGCATTCAAGTGTTAGAAGCCTTCTAAAAAATGAAGAAATGATAAAAATGCAGAAGAAACTATTTTCTCAAGATTTATAAAATTTCTCACTTAAAATAAAAAAAGAGATGCAAACAAAATTTAAATAGATTGAGCAACTTGAAACTTAAGTTCTTCTAAGCGGCAACTAGGATGAAATTAAGAAATCACTATAACAGTAGTATGATGAATTTGAGATATATTTGGATAACATAACAGATATGTCATAAAGATTAGATATTAGTTTAGTATTTTTAAGGGAAATTAGTAAGGATTTGAAAAATATTAAATCATCCATAGATTCAATACTAATAAGTGTAAAAGGAGTTGAGGATGATATAAGAAGATTAAGAGGTAAAAATTTTATGGAATTGCTAACCATTCGAAAGTAGAAAGTTTTATACTAAAAGCTAGAAAATGAGTAAGATTAAATTCATATTGAAATTAAAACTTAAGAATATGACCCAATTTCTGGAAATAAAAAAAAAAACAAGGGTGGAGAATTTGAAAGCTTTTTGATGAAATCGTAATGTGATAATTATGATGGGGAAGTTAATGAATTTTTGTGGAGTGGTTATGAAAAACTAAAAGATGTAATGCTAATAAAAGGAAAAGCAGGATCAGGAAAAAGTAGAGCTTCACGGAACATTGAAGAATTTATTTGGATTTGCGATTCAATTTCACCAAATTGGATTCCAATTTATGCGTCACTTCCTTAATTAAAAGATCCTAATCACAATTTAATTGAACAGGCTCTTGAGTCTGAAAATTACAACTTTGACGGTATTTAAATCAGAGAATTTAAAGATGCAGTCATAAATGGAAAATTAAAGATTGTTATTATACTTGAAAGCTATGATGAGATGAAATATGATTATATTGGAACAAATCTATATAATAGAAATCGAGTAGCATATGATCTAAACCTTTAAGCCTAAGACTTAAAAGTAAAGTTTATAATTACTACAAGAGAAGAAATACTAAACACTATAGGATATTAAACATGGTTTTATGGTTCGAGTTTATAAAATCTTAAAGAAGTAGAAATACTACCTTTTCGCTAGGAACAGAGTTCATAGTATCTTAACATATATGCTGAAATCAGTATTAAAAGAACAATTAAAAGGTTTTATGAGTTTCTCAAACAATTAAAGGGTTAAAACTTTTAATTAGAGGAGTTTAAGTTAATTTGGAGTCAAATAGAAAATACAATTAATTCTATTATATTATAAAGAAGAAAAACTGATATGCTGTTTTTAAACTCAGATATTGAAAGGATAATAAAAGCAATATAAAATGTTCAGTTTTTTAGTTTTATCTAATCGAATTAAATGTTATCTCTAAAAAAAGAACTTCTTTAATTATGGGGAGAATAAAAATTTTAATCAGTAGTTAAAAATGTAAATATCACACATCTATTAAGTACACCATTTATGATGGAAATAATTGTATATGTGTTGCCTAAAATGTCTTCACTTTTCTCTAAAGCCAACAGAATTAGAGAATTACTGAAGAAAAACTATATGATTTTGAAAAAGGAAGCTAACAATTCACAG